TTTCAGACAACAAACTCCAAACCTAGCTTTTATTTCAGATTCATTACGATAATGAATGTGTTTCTAGACATTATCATGGTATAATACACGTGAAAAATTAAATTGATATATTCTTAATTTTGAGTTAGCTATCAAACATCGCATTTAATTTAGGTTACATCCGTTGCAATACACGGGCACTCGTCAGGTTGAATTAGAATCGTCCATGGGGATGGACCCGGGAAGCCGAATAGAAAATGCATGCATGATGCTGGGTCGTTCGGTCTGGGCATTCTACCTCTTTAATTAATTAATTTGGGTGGGCAGCAGATAGTAGCTCTAATAATCGTTTGGTTTCACCTACTAAACTTTAGTCGTTGTCTCATCGGATGTTTAACACATACATTGAGTATTAAATATAAACTATTTACGAAACTAAATACACAGATTGAGACTATTTTGTGAGACTAATTTTTGTTAAGCTTAATTAGTCCATGATTTGACAATGTGATGCTACAGTAAACATTTGCTAATGACAAATTAATTAAACAATTACTAACGGATTCTATAATTTATTTTTTTATTAATATCCAAACATCTCATATGACACCTCCAAAAACTTTAGTCACTCGATCAAGCACCGCAAAGCCCTGCCCTTGGCTTGGCCTGTATAAAATGCCAGTGCTGTATAACATGTAGAGGGAAATGTAGCAGGCAGGCACCAGAGCCCACAGCTGGCATGTCGACGACGACGGTGACGCCGGAGCCGCCGCACGTCCTGGCCGTGGACGATAGCATCGTCGACCGTGCCGTCATCTCCAGGCTCCTGCGCAGCTCCAAATACCGAGGTGCGTGCATGCTCTAGTCGCGATCTTTACTCTTGACTGGAGTTCATTATATATCTCAATGGGACATTGTATTTCTTCTTCTTCTTCATATATTCTTCGCATATCTAGTAGTACGTATAAAAGCCTAGCCGCCCTTGCGTTGCATATTGCATTGGTCTGAAAAATAACAAAATCTTTTGTTGGGTTGCTGCTCCAGTTACAACGGTGGACAGCGGCGAGAGAGCCTTGGAGGTTCTCAGCCTGGTATGTAAGCTCAAGCTCAAGCTCGAACTCATCATCCATCATAGCGGCATCCCTGTTTGTACATATATATGTACTTGTTATAAGTGTTAATTAATTAATTAAAGCAGGATGGTGACAACGTGCACATGGTCATCACGGATTACTGCATGCCGGAGATGAGCGGGTACGAGCTCCTGAAGCGGGTCAAGGAGTCGGCCGAGCTGCGGGAGATCCCCGTGGTGCTCATGTCGTCGGAGAACTCGCCGACGAGGATCCGGCGGTGCCTGGAGGAGGGCGCCGAGGAATTCCTCATCAAGCCGGTGAGGGCGTCGGATTTGTCGCGCCTCTGCAGCCGCCTCATCACCACCTTGCGCTAGCTACCTTCTTCAATTTGCCTTAATTAGCTTCCTCGAGCAGCCGGATGGAATGGAATTACTGATGCCTCCAAGCTAGCAAGCCTACTACTACTATTAATCTATCCCATGCATACTGACCAATGCAACAACCAACCAACAGATGCATGCATGCAGATCATCAGGATTCATTTCATTCAGGGTTAGTTGATCCGGTCGAGCCTGTCTGGTTAATTAGTTAACAAAAAGCAGTACAGTACATTATATATAGGGCGCGCCGGTACTGTTGTTCGTGATGAGATTTGACTTTTGAGATAGACTGCTGAATTTGAATTTGCCCCTCCAAATTAATTTGGATGCAGGAGGAACAATGCAGGTGTGTACATTTCGTATAACTAACGACAGTGCGGTAGCATTTTACCGGATCGAGGCAGTTATCTCTTTAATTTTGATCGATCTTCTCGTTTCGATAGTAATCTGGGCTCAAGAAGAGAATAAATAAAAGAAGCGTCAACAGAATACCGTATATGCGTTCATGATTATGTAAGATCTTGGCCAATGGGCATTCATGTCTCCGGTACCCATCGCGTGCTGCTGTGTTGTGCGGTCGTTGCTGCTGTCTTCCCCACCGCCCATCCCATCTCGCGCCCGTGGCTCCCCAATCCAACGCCGTACTCCTTCCCGCACCGCGCCCCCTCCATCGCCTCGTCGTGCCCCTGCTGCTGCGCACCGTCCCCCGCGCGCGCCAAGGTGCTGCCAACACCGTTGTTCCCCCCCAGAAGGTCATGGCCGTTGTCGACGCCGTGGCCGCTGCGATGCGTGACCTCAGCAAGGAGATGTTGCAATGAAAGCGCATGTTGCAAGCGTATGCTTCAAGTGTTTCAGACGTTTCAAAGGTATGTTGCAATGTTTTATATGGATGCTGCAAAAGTAGATTGAGGATGTTGCACATGTTGTAAATGTTTCAGAGGCATGTTGGAAGTGCTTCAGTGGTTTGTTTAAAATGTTTTATCTGTTCCAGACGTATGTTGCAAATGTTCTGGTCTGGATGTTGCATATATTTCATAGATATGTCGCAACAATATGCTCCAAATGTTTCAGCTGTTTGAGTCTTATGTTACCGTAAGTGTTTTCATGGTGCAAGTATTTTACCTGGATGTTACATATGTTTCATATATATGTTGTAACAATATGTTCCAAATGTTTCACCTGTTTGAGTCTTATGTTGCAGTTAGTGTTTTCATGTTATAAGTGTTTTATCTGGATGTTGCATATGTTTCACACGTATGTTGTAAGGGTGTGTTCCAGATGTTTCATCTGTTGCATAAGTATGCTGCATTCAAGTGTTTCATGTTGCACATCTTTCATGTTGTTCGAAGAGTCAGGTGGCCCGGAAAGTGATGTTGGCAAAGACTGGGCACCGGGGAATGGGGCGCGGCGAGCTGGGGGTCGACGGACGGGGAGCGCGGCACACTCGGGTTGACGGTCGTGTCGCGTTGGGGGGGGAGGCGAGTGCGGGGTGGGGCGAACAACGTTGAATCGAGGCGGACAGGATGATCTGCGAGTGCGAGGCGAGTCCTCCAGACACGCGGACACTGCGATGGCGCGGGGTATACGTGCTGGGTGGGAAAATCAGCGGACGGGGGCATCCAGCTGCGCGCGTCCGTCCGGACGTCTGGGCGCTAGCACCTCTGTTAAGATTAAGATCATGTGATCGTGATCTTACGTCTCATCTGATTTAGGGCCTATTTGGATCATAGTTCGATTATTATAATCTGGATTATATAGAGGATTATTATAATAATGATCAGGATTATGGATTATAATAATTAGCGTGTTTGAGTCCATGGAATATGATAATTGATTATGGTTGGTTAAAGTGAGAAATTCCTGCCTTATCCTTAGGGGCAAGTAAGACTTCTGGCACCCATAATCTCTTATGACCTGGTCTCAGCTGCATTATGGAATTATGATAATCAAGAGTTCTAATTATAATTATCCACCGTATAATCAATCATGTTTAGACCAAAATTTAATTATATAATTTGATTATTATAATCAAAGGTTATCGAACTGGGCCTTATAATATGTGGTTTGACAACCTTGACGCCCAGTACTACTTATATATACTGGTGTAATTAAGATGCTCCCACATACAGCCTCTTCATTGAGTCTTGTTTTTTTTTTGACTTGTTTTCTAGACTCTCGTAGAATCAATAGAAATAAATAAACGAGGAAAAGTTCCTAAACCAGTACATATTCTTGGATTTTCAGTTTGCTCAATATATTTTTTTTGAAAATGATAACCCCTTGCTGGATTATATGTGTCGGAACAACCAACCCACCGCGCGTGATCATCAATTAGTTAGGGACTGCCTCTTTAATCTTTATCGAAGGTAGATACTCACATGAGTACATGCTTAACCGGTTAAAGCTCGTGTTCATCGATATCATCAATGTGATCTTTATCGAAGGTAGTACATACTTGCATGAGTATAACCCTGACCAGTGGTGGAGCGTGGCATAAGAATAAGGAGGGGGGGGGGACAAATTGATCTTTGCAGTGTCAAATCCTGATGAAAAATTAAATAGGCATGTAGTTCGAAAAATTAAATAGGCATGTAGTTCAACCTGCTAAGAATTTACGGGCATTGAATTTCTGTCAGAAAGGGGGTGGAGGCCCAGTTTCGCCGCCACTACCCTCCGCCTCTGACCCTGACCGACTCCTAGAGATTCCGCCAACATTGTTAACGTTGTTGATAAACCCAAGTTTTGCTACTTATTAAGCATAAATCGTGACGAATAAGTCTAACGTAAACACTTGAACAACAAGTTTGACTACCTTAGTTTGACTTGTTGTGGCTTTAAATTAAATCAGCAAAACTAATTAGGAATCGACCGAGTGATGCATGCTGGCGTGGTGGATTGTTTTTTGCAACAAATTGAGCAGAGGCGAGGAAAGTATTTGCAACAAAACGAAGTACATATTTTTTTTCAAAACTCCAAGGTTTTCGAATTTGTTTGTTTTCTACAAAAATGAAGTCAATGTCGTTTGTGGAGTACCTGTGGTCCTGTGGACTTACTTGTGGTTGCACTCGGCACTCACGTGAAAGAAACTAGTAGACACACCACATGTTGCTGCGTGTGAAGAATTTTTGAATAAAATTAAGTGAAGATAATGTGTATAGGTTGCATTAAAATATTGAAAGTTAGTGACATGACATGCCTATTGGTAGAAGATGACGTGGATAGCTAGTGGGAGATGACGTGGATAACTTGCATTAAAAAGTTAAAGTTAGTGACATGACATGACTTTTATGAAAGATGATGTGGATAGCTATTGGTAGATGACGTGGATGCGCATGTCTTACATGTTGTAATCTTGAGATAGAACATGTTTTTGAGGATTAGCTTTACAAGATATATATTGATCGGCATATAGATTTTTTTTAGCAGGGATCGATATAGATTTTGGACAGAGGATATTTTGCTTCCCGTGGCGGCCCATCGGTTGGGGTTGGGAAGCCCAAGGAAGATGGCCCACGCGCGGGCGCGGCCGCGCCCACGTCAGCACATCCGAGTCCTCGTCGCCGCCGCCATGCTTCTCCTTTCCTCCGCCCTCTTCACCACCGCACGCTTCCCACTCGCCGTCTCCGCCCGCCTCCCAAACCCTACCACCACCACCCGCCTCCTCCTCTTCGCCGGCCTCCCTTCCTCCTCCCCACTCCGCGCCTTCTGCCCCAGGGCGCGGCCCTCGCCCGCCACCTGCGCCGCCTTCTCCTCCACCATGGCCGCCGCCGACAACCCCCTCCTCGTCGCCGACTTTGACTTCCCGCCCTTCGACCGCGTCGAGCCCAGCCACGTCCGCCCCGGCATCCGCGAACTGCTCACGCGACTCGTAAGCCATGCCTTCCTCCATCCCGACCTTCACCCTCATCTGTCTGAGATTGGATGGATGGATCCCGAGGTTCTGACGGGGGCTGCTTGATCGCAGGAGGGCGAGCTCGAGGAGCTCGAGAAGGGCGTCGATCCCACGTGGGGGAAGCTTGTCGAGCCGCTCGAGCGCATCACCGACAGGCTCGAGGTCATCTGGGGCATGGTCGATCACCTTAAGGCTGTTAAGGACTCCGCCGATCTCCGCGCCGCCGTAGAGGAAGTGCAGGTCCACTTGAGTTATCCCTTTTTGCTGTTCGTTTCTCCTCGGTCCTCGCTTCTTACAGTGCGGTGTAGCAAAGCAGCTCACATGGATCACCGCCTGATCGAATTTCTGCTTCGTCTCACAGCCCGACAAAGTCAAGTTCCAACTAAGGCTGGGGCAGAGCAAGCCTATCTATGAAGCTTTCAAGGCCATCAGGAACTCTTCCGATTGGGACAGTCTCAGTGATGCTCGCAAGCGTATAGTTGAAGGTCACACTGAAACCTCTGTCTAGTAGCCATGATAAAATATAACTGATGTCCACTTCCAGTGACCCCATGGGAGAGAACTGAGTGTGGTTCTCCTTTACTAATAGAGTAATAGTTTTTCTTCTTTCCATATGCAGCTCAAATAAAGGAATCTGTTCTCAGTGGAGTTGCACTTGAGGATGAACAAAGGGAGAAATTTAACCAAATCGAACAAGTAAGCCAGATTTTGTCACTGTTGTGCCACTTGAATGATCATCCAAATAATCGCTTCCGGTTTGCTTGGTTCTTCTAATCTTTACTGGTGTATGTCACTACATGAATTAATGGACTGCTAATTTCATTTCAGGAGCTTGAAAAACTGACACAAAAGTTTAGCGAAAATGTGCTGGACGCCACAAAGAAATTTGAGAAATTAATTACTGATAAGAAAGAAATTGAGGGGTTGCCTGCTACAGCCCTTGGTTTAGCAGCACAGACTGCTGTGTCAAAGGTATTGCACCGCTACAAAATCTCAGTAGCTGCTTCCACCATTACTAATCCTATATGCTGATGACAAGCAATATTGTTAGGGCCATGAAAATGCTACAGCTGAAAATGGACCTTGGGTTATCACGTTGGATGCACCAAGCTATATCCCTGTTATGCAACATGCTCAGAACAGAGCGCTCCGGGAAGAAGTTTATCGTGCTTATCTTACCCGCGCCTCTAGTGGTGAACTTGATAACACCAATATCATCTCCCAAATTCTAAAGTTAAGGCTAGAGAAGGCTAAACTTCTTGGCTACAAGAACTATGCTGAGGTGCTTCTGCTCTTACTTTTTCCATTACATTAAAACAAGCACGCAATAGTTGTGTTCTAATTAATTGATGATACTTGTGAAGGTAAGCATGGCTCAGAAAATGGCAACTGTTGAGCGAGTAGAAGAGCTTCTCGAGAAGCTGCGTGCTGCTTCCTGGGGTCATGCTGTCAAAGGTACAACCAACTAAATTACTATTCTTCTTCCTATAGGTTTTTTCTTCTGCACAGTGGCAAGGTTGTTTGCTTCCATGCATTTCTTCTTCTGCGTCATTTGCATTATGTAATTTGTATTGAGTTGTTCTCCTCGATGCTATTTTCAACAGATTAAATATATCAAGTTTGTATTCAGGATTCTAGAGATATGCCTATTATTCTATCATCATCTGAATTTTGTATTACTTGTATTGTATTTGCGTTTGAGCTGTGCACCAAACTTTAGGTTTTCTTTAACCTCTGAGATACCCTAACATGAATATTTCTTATCAGCAATCATTTTCTCTTGTGTAGGGAAAGTAGGCAGAACTTCTTGTTTTTCCCCGCACATATATTAACTGCTGATTTGTGTATTCAGATATGGAAGATCTAAAAATCTTTTTGAAAGATTCTGGTTCTCCTGAAGCTAATGATTTGACTCACTGGGACCTTACCTTCTGGAGTGAACGACTGAGAGAGTCTAAATATGATATCAATGAGGTTTGTTTTCTGTTTTGCTTCATTTAAGTATCTCAATAGTTTCAGCCGCAAGCTGCTAAGTTTCTTTTATTGTTCTCAGTAGTTTGTCCCTTTTCTTTATTGATGTTCAACTGTATTCCAGTTTGTCTTAGGTCCTCAGGGGCATATGTATTTCAAATACTTTGATACTCATACACTGAAGTGCTACTAAATGTTCTCTCATTGAAAGAAACACATGGTAACGACTGACCAATGAGCTTATTTGAACACTGCCATTGCAGGAAGAGCTGCGCCCTTATTTTGCACTACCCAAGGTTATGGATGGCCTCTTCACTCTGGCACATAAGCTTTTTGGAGTTACTGTTGAACCTGCAGATGGGCTGGCTCCTGTAAGTACTGGTTCACTTTTCTTCACATGATACAAATTCTGCAATTGTTGACAAGTGACTACCTTTTCAGGTCTGGCACAGTGATGTCAAATTTTATTGTGTCAAAGACTCTTCCAATAGCCCTGTTGCTTACTTTTACTTGATCCTTATTCAAGACCATCTGAAAAGCGGAGGGGCTTGGATGAATGTGGTCTTTCTCGAAGTCGCGTGCTAGCTCAAGAATGGTTTGGCTGCTAGGCTTCCTGTTGCCCATATGGTGTGCAATCAGACTCCACCAGTTGGTGAGAAGCCCAGTCTTATGACCTTCCGCGAGGTAAGTAATACATCTGTGACATGTGAATAAGGATATCTGGAGAAAGCAGTAGCTCTCTCCTTATTATGGTAGTATAAATAAAGAAGTGTAAATTGTGTTGCATGTTGCCTGTAGGTTGAAACTGTGTTCCATGAATTTGGTCACGCCCTTCAGCATATGCTTACTAAACAAGATGAAGGCTTTGTTGCTGGTATTCGTGGAGTTGAATGGGATGCTGTAGAGTTACCCTCCCAATTCATGGAGAACTGGTGTTATCACAAGTATGGTTGGTCCATACCAGTTGGTTTTTAGCTTGAATCTCCCTTTTTTTTTATTATAACTTATCTCTTGCGTGTCTGTAACAGGAATACTCTTTTGAGCATTGCAAAGCATTATGAAACCGGTGAAACTCTTCCAGAGGAAATTTATGCGAAGCTTGTAGCTGCAAAGAATTTCCGTGCTGGCACCTTCAGCTGGGCGCCAGGTCCGTAAGCTTGTTTCATCATATTCAACTTGTTACTCTAGTAACTTTTACTGGTATGGTTACATTACAAAATATGCATCATAATATTTGTCTTGTTATTAATTGGTTTTCTCCTTTGCTTTTTCTGCTTATACATTTATATAAGGAGTAATCCATGCCATTCCAACTTCTATTTCTTTTACTTCTGTAGATACGATTTGCCAGTGTAGATATGGAACTTCATACAACTTATGATCCCAATGGTTCACTGTCCATATATGATGTTGACGAAGAGTTGCAGAACGAACACAAGTTCTTGCTCCTCTGCCGGAGGACAGATTCCTGTGCAGCTTTAGCCATATTTTTGCAGGTTTGCACCACTCGGTATATATCATATAAATTCTGTCAAGTTCATGACAGAATGACCTCTCATTTCATTTATGGGCAATTGCAGGTGGCTATGCTGCTGGATACTACAGTTACAAGGTAGGTTGTTTTGCTTGGAATGCCCTTCTGTCCTGACTTTATATTCCTTGAGGGTATGGTAACGCTAATATCATGTCATGTCCTTGATTCAGTGGGCTGAAGTACTGTCAGCTGATGCATTCTCAGCTTTTGAAGACGCTGGTTTGGATAATGAGAAGGTACGCTTTTCACCGAAAAATAGATTAGGATTGTTTCTATGTACAACGAAGGAGGGTCAACATTTCTTTTGTCCCATTTGCCAATGGCATCAATGTAAATTATAATATTTCGAATTCCTGTTTTGTAGGCAATTGAGGAAACTGGCAGACGGTTCAGAGATACTGTTCTTGCGCTTGGAGGTGGAAAGTCTCCGCTTGAGGTAATGGCTTCTTGTAATCTCTTGGGCTGCTTTCATAGCATTGTTTTGCATCAAGGCATTCTTATTATACGGTTGCTAAAATAGAATTGTGATCTGTATTTTAAAGTGAGTGTAGTCGCCATATGATTTGGGATACAAATTTGTTTTGGGTTCTTTGAGTTGCTGGGAGCCAAACTAATGCTCGCCACTGGCTGCAGGTGTTTGTTTCATTCCGAGGACGGGAGCCTTCACCTGAACCACTTCTTAGGCACAACGGCTTGCTTCCTGTTGCTGCGTAGTGCTCACCAGCATTCAAAGATTTCTCTGGGGCGTCGACCGAAAAGATTGCCGTGCCAATTAGGCTGTTATTTATGCTTAAACAGGGACCGTTTGTAGTGGTTACAAGTATATAATGGCAGTATTGACTAGCACCACATCCACAAACAAGGCCGGCCAATCGCAGTATTTCTAGAAAAAAAGAATAGTTGTTTGGGCACATTGCTTTGCTTTGATGAAGATAGACATTCTCGGTGGTAACATTTACTGCAAGCCAGACGTGTGCCTCTAAGTTGTAACGTTATCTAATAAACGAATGTTAAAGTTTGAAAACCTATTTATGGATCGTCATCTATAGGTTTCTATCTTTTAAAGATGTGAAGTAAATCGAACATTAAGGACAACTAAACTGTGTACCTTAGTGCAGTTATGTAACCATAGATGCAATGCAAATCTCAAACCGACAGGTTTCCCGTAACATAGTTCTTACGTTCATGTAACGTGTAGCAAAAGTACTCATATATGTACCCATATCATTTCCAAACATTTAAACTAGTTATCAAACAAAAGAACATTTAAACTCAACACACACAAAAAATTGCTCATATATGTACTCATCTTTTACTAGACGAAAGCTGCATCAGACTCTCTCGCACCTGATTCGGCCACGTAGTAGCCTGCTTTTTTCTCAGCCGTCGGATTTTGATGTGCATAAACGGCCACAGAAGCTGGCGTCTCCAGAGCCTTCGTCTCGAGCTCATGATTCGCATGCGAGATGCCACTCCTCGCTGCCGTCGCCGGGCCACCGCGCCTCCCTCTGGCCTTTACTGACCAGGCAACCTCTGCGAGCCCCACGTCCGCGCCGGCGTGGCCGCAGCCACCGTGCCCGCGCCCCCCACCCGCTCCGGGGTGGCCGGAGCCACCACGCCTGCGCCCCCGCTCGCGCTGGGGTTGCCTAGACCGCCGCTCCCGCACCCCGCCCGTGCCGGGGTCGCAGGACCGCTTAGTCGTACTTCGCGCTTCTCCGCGCGAGCAACTCCTTCCCCCTGTGACCCCTCCTCGTCGCAGCTGCGCAGCCCTTACGAGATGATGCCTGATGGTCGCCGCGCCGAGGGAGCAGACGCTCGCACCGGTGGAGCCGCTGTGCGCCGAGGGCCCACGAAGCTTGCGCCGCCAAAGTAGCGCGCGCCCGGTGGCCGGCCGCGCACGCGTCGTGGAACCGGCCGCAACCCGCGTCGGGAAGCTGACCCCGCCCGCGCCGGGGCCACGTCGCCGCCGCACGCTAGGCCGGAGGCGGCGATGCCTGCACGAGACTGACCGCCGCCGGCGGCGGCACCAGTCTGCAGCGATCCCGGCCCAGCGATGGTAAAGACAACAGCTGGACAGCGCCTGCCTTGTGTTCCCGTGTGCTCGCCGTTGCCAGCGACCAAAGAACTCAATGCCGGCATCGCCGCTTCCATGGATAATGAAGCCAATGTGTTGGATAAAATGGGAACAAGTTTTTTTTTTTTTTTGCATTTCTTCCTCTCAAATTTTCTAGATGATTTGTGCATACCACATCTCTATCGTTATAATATTCAAGTTTTTCTTCCACAGCAATCTGAATAATAGCATATAGATCTTGTTAGTCAATATAAACTACACTTGAAAATATAATAAAAAAGTGCTGTGATTTGGGGCATACTGTTATTCAAGCAACAAGAACAAATGAATACTGGTTCTAGAATAAACTTGCTCCAGTGATGGATTCTCCTAAAATAGGATAACATGGAATTAATCTTTGACACACTGAAATATACATAAGAGATAATCAGTTTAGAATTAAGGGTAAAGTCCAATTTACACCCTTCAACTTTCATCAAAGTCCGGATTTCAATCTCGATCTTTAAAACTGGACAACTTTGGCCCCCCAACTCTTGAAAAAGTTCAACTTTCAACCTTCTGTGCGGTTTTGCGGGTGAACAGTAACTTTTGATATTTTCGGGAGCGCCGAAATTTTATATTATTTTTTCGAGCATCTTAACGTCCTCAAATGAAAAAACTCAAAACTACAAAGTTGTAGATCTCATCGAGGTCTACAATTTACATATAAAATTATCTTCATCGACATCGTATTGAAGGGTTTTCTATTTTTTGAAATTTGAGTCTCATCACGCGATAAAATATGGTGCTGAAATTTTATATTATTTTTTCAAGCATCTTACTGTCCTCAAATGAAAAAAAAAATTAAAACTATAAAGTTGTAGATCTCATTGAGGTCTACAATTTACATGTAAAAATTATCTTCATCCGACATCGTATTGAAGATGCTCAAAAAAATTTTATAAAATTTGAGTCTCATCATGCGATAAAATTGTTTTATCGCGTGATGAGACTCAAATTTCAAAAAATAGAAAACCCTTCAATACGATATCGGATGAAGATAATTTTTATATATAAATTGTAGACCTCGATAAGATCTACAACTTTGTAGTTTTGAGTTTTTTCATTTGAGGACGTTAAGATGCTCGAAAAAATAATATAAAATTTCGGCACTCCCGAAAATATCAAAAGTTACTGTTCACCCACAAAACCGCCCGGAAGGTTGAAAGGTGAACTTTTTCAAGAGTTGGAGGACCAAAGTTGTCCGGTTTTGAAGTTCGAGGTTGAAATCCGGACTTTGGTGAAAATTGGAAGGTGTAAATTGGACTTTACCCTAGAATTAATCCTGAACTTAAAAGTTCAGTTGGGTAAGCTACAAAGCCTTCAGTTCTTACAGTTTGTGCTGGACATTTGATGTGATAGGCTCGCAAAGGAGTGCCTAGCAATCTTATGCCCCTTTAGCTAGAATTTGAGGTCGTAAAGATTACTATTTAAGATCTACACATCTCTAGAAGACTTTTTGGGACACATCTTGTCATGACCCAACCTAGCATTTTCTTGCCGTCTGATTCATGAATCCTGAACTTAAAAGTTCAATTGGGTAAGCTACAAAGCCTCCAGCTCCTACAATGTATACTCTGAAGGTATCTGAACCCACCATTTACTTTATTGATCAGAACTTCAAAGGATTTAAACACAGGAACATCCAAGATTCAGTCCCTTAACCATTTTTCTCTCTTTGAACAGTAAACACTGATATAATGACCATGCAAATTTGCCAAAATGACCAACTAAAGATCAATTTCTCTTGACATCCGCGTGAGAAAGACACTACATTTGATTTCTAGAATGGGGTTAGGATTTTGGAGTACTTTGAGTTGCTTACTGGAGTGCACACCTCCCAGCCGCTCGGCTGTAGGTAACCAGGCTAATAAGCAAGCGCATCGCCACAGCTCCCGGCGTCGTTGGTGTGTAGCCGCATGCTCCTGTTCTTCCCCTTCGTTGCTGTCGCACCATCCCTACTCGTTTTCTTGCCAGACCCTAGATGGATGAGCAAAGGGAGATGAAGGCAGCAGTCAAGAGCTAGAGCACGAAAATGTATGGACTGATTAGATATACACCGCGTGCAGTAGGATTAGATATACAGCACGAAAATATAATTAGATATACACCGCGTGCTTCCCCTAATCATATTTGTAAGTTATTTGTAGTATCTATACTGTCATTACTTCCAACGTTTTCGTCAATAAACTATCAGTTATGACTCTTCCGATTTATGCTTATTCAAAGGACTCCTTGATAATATTGTTGTTTCTCAGCCCATGAGCATGTATGTTCTATCATATAATTTTGCTCCTAATTGTTTATATTTATCTGAATGTTTGATTTTGCAGGCAAGAGCTGATGATTAGGCCATCTATATAATCAAGCCTAGCTAGATTTTGCTCCAGATCTACCCAATCATTGCTGATCTGGATGATCATATATTTGTTCTTTTATCCCCTGTAATTCAGTTACACATTCTCTGGATGTGGGAAGGGATAAGACTATGCCCTTTCTGCACAAAAGATCTTATATTTTCTGTGAATGAATAATAATTCAAATGTATCCTCTGTATAGTACTCTCTCTCTAATATACTTATTTCTCATATGCAGATTATTGCGAGTTTAATGTCAGTGACATCCATCATCGCAATGCTCAGACTCAATCAATATGAGCAATTTCCCCACACGCTTTCCTCCAAGCAATGACGGAAGCAAGTTACGTGATGAGTCATCAGCTAGACATTTTTTTTCCTCTCGAATACGCAAAAGATTTGCGTGTCATTGTATTAAGGAGAAGAATTTAAACAAACAAACAACACGCTTCTATCAAACACCGAATGAGGTCGATCTAACATAAACGAAACTGGACCATCCTAGCAAAAGACCTCTTATTTCGATATTACATAAAAGGAAACAACCAATATCGACGCAGCTTCGTGACCTAGGAGGTGGCCTTTCTTCTTCGCGGTTGCCTGGACGGGCCCTTTCCAACGGCCGGGAAGAGCGCGTCCAGGGCCTCGGCATTTGACGCAGTCAGGTTGCTGTCAAAGAGCTTGTTAAAGGCCCCCAGCTCCGACACGGATGGCACTGATGGACCATTGGTGTAGCCCATACGCTACATGATCAACACCTCACATCGTTTGGAAGCTGGCACTTGGGAGAGGCTCTGAGCCGCCAACCGCCTGCTCCACCACGACAGCATCGGCTTAGCAGGAGGCGGCTTGGGAGGCTCGCAAATCAACGAAGAGTCCCTCTTACGTGTGACATTGTTGATGAAGCTATCGAGACGGCTGTTGGGGATTTAACTTCACCAAGAAAACTCAGCCCCTAAAACTTTAGAGTTGAAATTGTGATTTTTATAACAAAGTTTACTTGCAGGAAAAAGAAGTGAAGCGGAGGTGGAAATTTGACTTAGCTAGAAAGATTCCGTCTTCACTGAAGAAATCTCGTCTTTGCTGGTGAAAAGAAGGCAAGGTTAGGCGAAGACAAGAATTTGACTTCACCTAACATTCTGGGAGAAGAAGGAAATCAAGACAGAAATCGACTAACTCTAGAAGACGACGATATCAATAAAATTGATGTACAAAGATTGAAGAACGAAGACTCAAAAGGAAAA